CAGCCCCCCAGAGCACAGCACAGCCCCCAGAGCACAGCACAGCCCCCCAGAGCTGCTCTGCTGACAAAGCACGGGGACAATTCTGTCTCAGAGGACACAGCCTGAGCGGAGCCCACGGGGAGCAGGTGACAATACCCACTTGGTCTGATGTTTGGAGCCCTTCAGGTGTGCGTGGTACTGCTCTATGGAGTTCAGGGTGACGTTGCAGATGTTACAGGTGTAGCTGCGCTTCAGGCCTGCAATGAAAACCCAGAGTGTTAATTAACCAGGCGTGGCCCCTGGCTCGGTGTGTCCCTGTGTGAGACAACCACCACCTCCAGGATATCAACAGCACCAGAGCTTCATCTCACTGGAGCTCATCAAAGGTGCTACTTGGCTGAAACTGGTTCCATAAAACTCAAGCTCGACCCCACGGGCCATCTGCAGCAGGAAGGTGGTCCCAGCCTGAGCAGTCCATGCTGGGAGCTGCCGGGCTCTGGCTGTGTTCACATTCCCTTTTGCATCCTCATGACACATCAGCATTGCCTCCCCTGCAGCGTGACAAGCATTCATGTAAAATTGAATGTCCTCCTATCCCCATTAAATGAAATATTAACAAGTCAAGTCATTAATGTCATTCTGCATAAAATGCATTAAAACCCATTCCAGGGGAGTTCTTGTTAAACTGCTTCTTACTAACCACAAGTGACAGCACAGAATGAAAAGTATTTATAAGGCATACAAAGAAATTATGAGCTGAGATGGAAAATGAAACTCAGCTCTTTGCCCGATTTTGCAAGGCAGCATCTGCAACACCACCAAAATACCTGGGAACAGGTGACAGCATCCCTGTGCCCTTGTCCTGCTGCACTGCAGAGGCTGCTGTTCTTTATTTCAGGGATTCAGGGCACCTGTTGCAGAGTTTGACTCTGCCCCAGCCCCAGGCAGAGTCCATTACAAACCACCTGCCCTGCAGAGCCAGGAGGGAACACGAGAGCTCAGCCAGGGGGGATACCAGACACGGACTAAAAGTGGTGAGATGTGACCTGACAGAGAAAACCTGCCATTCTCCCTCCCTGTGCTTGGCACAGGCTGGGGAGGGCGAGAGCTGCCAGATGGAGCTGTGCCAGTGCCTCCAGCCGGGCCACGGCCACTCCGTGCAGCTCAACAGGCACAAACCCTCAGGGCACAGCCTGGAATTTGGGGTTTGGTACCCACCAGCTTTCATCTTTCTATGATCCCTGCCAGGATTCAGGGGTGGCCAGGGGTGGCAGCTCTGCAGGAAGAAGACTCCTCCATTTCCTCCCCGTTCAGTGCATGTCCACATCATCCCCTGCCAGGGGCACCTGAACAGCTCTGTGCCACGGCTGGAGAGCCACATGGAGCTGCTGGGAGAGAGAGGGCTGGACCCTGCCCTGCACTGGGCCAAGGCACAGGGGTATGTGCCTGTGCACCCCCCTGTGCTGCAGCTTTAACTCAACACACACCACACACTGCAGAAATGGTGCTCATTTCTCCTTTTTTTTTTTTTTTTCCCTCCTCTTTCTCATTTCTGAGAAGAAAATAAGACTTCAAAATTGCAGCATGAGCACTTGGTGAGAAGAATCAATGTTTTTGTTTCCTATAAATATCAGTTGTCCAAAAATACATCTCTATTCTTATTTCTCCAAATACACATTCATATTTATCAATAAATATTTTATTACAGCCATTATCACAACATCAAAGGCTGCTGAAATGTTGTACTTCAACTGACACTGCTCGTTCCAGGCTCACATAATGCATCAAATGTTCGTCTCCCACACTAGTCAAAATAGAATTAATATTTAAGCTGTGATGGGAGAAGCCACCAGGGATGCAGGGGAAGGGGATGACTCTGCGTTCCAGGGGAAACTGAGGCAGCCAAGGTGGTGTGGAGCAGGGAGTGCCCAGGGCCACAGTGCCCACCACGGCCACGTCCTGCCCACACTGACCTGCTGGACACGGTGTAAGACAAGGTGACAGCCTGGGATGATCCACCACCAGGTCCCTCTGAACTGCCACCCTTACTGCAGCCCCAAAAACAGCACCCTGCAGTGCCCAGAGCTGTCCCCCCACACCAGGCACACAGGACAGCTCTGCTGCCCCCTCTCCTGCCACCCCCAGACTCTGCAGGGACCTCACTGGATCCACCTGCAAACCCCAGCCAGGCACAGCACCACCCTGAAGGTAAAAACCAGCCACTGATGAGGCCGCCAGGGCCTCCAATTTCAACTCTCCCAGGCACAAGCTAAACGAGTAAAACACTCCACAATTGATTTATTTACAGTTAATGACATCCTCGGCCACTCTGGCGCTTGGCACAGTCAAAGTGCTGAGCCCTTCCCTGTTATTGTCCCAGGTTTTATTCCCGCATATTTCCAGCAGCGGGCAGTGACTCAGCCACATGAATCATTGATGACACCGTGAGTCACACTAGGTAGCA